ATATAGTTAGGAAAAAATAATTATCTCTGGTGAGATGTAGTTGAGATCTTCTTAGTATTTCTTGAGTATTATTTTATTAGAGCATTCCTGTATTACAGATGGTATTGTCATAGTTGTTATGTTTTTATAATTTAAAATAATTACTGTAGAAGAAGTAATTTGCAAAGTTTTATCATTTTAAGTTTCTTATTGCTATAATTTCAAATATTAGCATAATAATTTTTTCAGATTCTTTGAGTGTTACTTCATTTTTAGAAATAAAGTAAAAATAAAAAAATAAAAATTTTTTTGTATATATGTTTTATGCATATATTTATATGTACTCTTGCTCTTTTCGCATTAAACTCTTCTACTAACAAATTGCCATTGTCCTCAAAAATGATTTTTGTCAATTCGTAATTCATCTCATCATCAGTATAATGGACTGGCTTCTTGCCTTTCACTTTTCATCATTTAGCAAAAGGTTCGTCGCTAAAACTGTCTTTCAGCTGCCTTATCGATTTGGACAGCTGAATTTTCACAAATTAATTGAGTCTGAAATATCAAAAAAAAGTATAAGAAAATTATTAAAATAAGTATTCTTAAATAAAGTCGTTTTTCCTGCTGAATTCATCATTAATTTTAGCAAGAAATTGATTTTTGAATTCTAGTCATTTATTTTCGCAGAAGAGATCAGAATTTTTTCGCTCGAGTTGCTCAATTATTTTGCAAAAATCGTCAAGTTGCTTCTTTACCTTTCGATTTTCTATATAAGAATATAAGAAATACATTGTTAGATTACTATATTTATTAATCAGAGAATAAGACAAATTGGTACTGGTTTATAAATCATCAGATTCATTGATAGTTATCATTTTGACTAAAGCTGAAGAAGCTGCTGTCGATTCTTGATAGGAGCTGAATGTCCTTATATCATTTTTGTAATTTATTAATATTCACTTAATCTATAATTTGGAAATTTAAATGAGTATCAAATGTATATAATATGATATAATCAACTTACATTCTAGAATTTTCAGCTTCTCATTGGATTTACATTTCATTTGTTTCAATTATTATGCTTGTTGCACTTATTGCGCTTGTTTCTTTGGTTATTTACTTGGTTCTTTTCTTTTTATACTATTTTAGAAAAGGTAAAAGTTAATTAACAGAGATTTGGTAAATGCGAAAATTGAATTTATATAATTAATTAATAAATTATACATGCATACAAGAAATTATTATGCAAGGAAATATTAAATAATTATTTTTTTTTAAAAAAAAAAATAAGTGATTTTTTTGAAAATAAGAAAATGTTTAAATAAAATAATAAGATATTTAAGAAATTGCTACTTTCTAAAGAAAGTTGATTGAAAATTAGTACTTTTATATATTTCAAATCAACTAATCCTTACTCATTCAATTTTGATATATTTTTATGATAAAATATTCTTATGATATTGCTCATTCAATTTCCAGTTTCTCAAATCAACCTAAATTCTGACTCATTCCATTTAAAATTAGTTTTTTTTTGACAAAAATATCCTTGCGATATTATTTATACAACTAGTCTTACTCATTATATCTTTTCAGTAAAATATTCTTGCAATATTGCTCATTCGACTTCTAGTTTCTCAAATCAACCTAAATTCTGACTCGTTCAATTTAAAATTAGTTTTTATTTTGACAAAATATCCTTGCGATATTATTTATACAACTAGTCTAACTCATTATATATTAACGAATTATGATAAAATATTCTTGTGATATTATTTATTTGACTTTTTGTTTTTCAAAAATCAATTTAAATTTTACTTGAAAATTAGTTTTTTTTGATAAAATATCCTTTCGATATTATTCATATAATAAAATTCAGTTTTTAGTTGAAATTTTAGCTAGTTGTGATTGAATTTAATAATATTTCTTTTATTTCTTTATTTTATTTTTTTTTACCAAAAAAAAACATCTTTAAGCAAAATTTTTATCTAACGTGATAAAACTTTAATTTTTTACCCGAATTTGTTAATTCGTTTATAAATCAGAAATAAATAAGCTTAAATAAACTTTTAATATAATTGAATCAGAAACTTTAAATAAAGTATTATTTGATAGATAATACATGCAACAAACAATGTAAATCATCCTTATACTGTAAAATAATATTAAGAATATAAAACAATACAAATATAAAGATTATTTTTATAAATTGCTCTATTTTGAACTTTTTTTTCTTTTTTTTTTCTCTTTCAAATATATTATCAAAATGAGCAGAAAAAGGTCAATCGCTAGCATATTTGATGATGAAGAAAATAACTCAAGTTAATCTTTTACTGTGGTTTTTTATAGAAGAAACAGATCGATTACTAATTTAATTGATAAAAAAATATCTTCTACTTCTAGAACATCATCATCACGTAATGTAATAACAAGATATCAATATTTACAAAGCTCAATTTCAGATGCATTTCATCAATTTGAAATTCAGGAAGAAACAGGAGAGTCTTCAACAACATCAACTTCAGCTAGACGAATTATTGAACATAAATCAGAAGATGATAAATATCAGGAGGATTCTGATTTTACATTTGTATCTCGAAAACATGTAAATAAGTACAAAAATTGACTAAAACCTAACATAAATCCTTCTGATGACAATTCTGAACAAAGTGTTGATGAGCCTTCTGAATCTTCTGAATATACCACTGAAAAAGACAATATTTCGGATAGTAGTAGTGATAGAAATGAATCTGATGATGGAGAATCAGGTGATAATGAAGATTACAAAACATTTGAGAATTATACACCATTTGATTATGAGACATTTTAGGACCCACCAGATCTAGGATCAACAATTAATAACTGAATTTTATGGATTTTGCTTTGAATTATGACATTTCAAACAAGATTCAACATAACGGAAACAGCAACTGAGACTTTGATAAAATTTATAAAATTAGTTTTGACAGAAATCGGTAGAGATGGTGGAGATAATTTTAGAAACTTTCCAGATTTAATGTTAACAAGGAAAGAATTTGGATTAAAAGATCATTTTTATAGCTTTGTTTCTTATCTGAAATGTCATAAGTTGTATAAAAAACAGGAAGTGATAAAATTTTAGACAAGAAGATTCACTTGCTATAATGAAGTGCTGACATGTAAAATTTCCTAATTCATCACTCTGTAAATCATGATTTTGCAATACAACTATATTTCAAATCATCAGTATTTCAGTAAATCGAGTAGTAATTCAACCTAATTTAATATTTCCATTTTCTGAAATCAGACAACAACTTGCTTTGATGTATTGTCGGCCTTGTTTTGAAAGTTGTTTGAGACAATAGGTAAATCATCAGCATTATGATAATTTTAGGACTGATATATATGATGATCAAGTATGGCAGACATTGAAAGAATCTTCTGAAGAAAATTCGCAAAATTTTTTAGAGATGAAGTGGCTGATTCTCACCTTGGATTAATGTTGAACTTGGATTGATTCCAGCCTTATGAAGGTACTGTATATAGTATTAGTGTTATTTATGCTACTATATGCAATTTGCCATGTAATATCTGATTCAAACGTAAAACCTACTGACTCTTGACCTCTTACTTGAGCTAAGTGAAGTAAGTTTGCACAAAATAAATCATTATTTAGTACTGATCATTGATGAATTGAAATCTCTTTGAGATGGAATAACTATAGATAAAATATACGAATTTTAAAAAAGAAGGACCATTCGTGCAGCTCTAATTCTTATTTTATGTGATATACCAGTCACTAGAAAATATGTGGTCATATTTCAGCCTTAGCATCATGTAATAGGTGTGAGAAGAAAACAAATTATGAAAATTGGCAGCATAATTTTGCCGGTATGGATGATTTTGATGATTAGTTTTTCATGTGAGATCCAACTGAATATCGTCAGAATGTTTTAGAATGGAGATATTGCAATTCTGATACTTCACGAAAGTGATTTGTAAAACAAACTAGTATAAGATGATCTGAATTATTATGATTACCATATTTTGAACCTATTAGATTTATCACAATTGACCCAATGCATTGCTTATTTTTAGAAATTACATGATGGATAGTAAAACGAATTTGAATCGATAGGGGAATTTTAACATCAAATGTCCTGAAAAAAAATTCAAAAAAAAAATGAATAAGTTTCAGATTCCATCTGATTTAGGTCGAATTCCGGATAAAATTCATAAAGGAGAAGGATTTTTAATTTTACAGCCGATCAATAGTGAATATTTTTTACTGTTTATTCCACTATATCACTTTGTGAACATCTTCTGGCTGTAGATAAAAAAATTCTTATACATTTTGTGAGAATTTGCTTAATTTTAGTTAGCCGAATTATAGAATCAGATCTTGTTTTAGAAGCTCATTGAAGATTAATTAAAATAGCAAAGCTGATAGAAGTTAATCATGATCGCAATAAAATTACACTAAACATTCATTTATCTCTTCATTTATATAATTGCTCATTTGATTATAGACTATTGTATGTATTCTAGTGTTTTTCTTTCGAACGCATGAATGAAATATTAAGTAATTCATCATTATGAAAATTTTCCGATTGAATATATTTATTAATTTTTAAATTTATTATTCTTAGACTTTTTACCAAATAGCAATAGAAAAATCGAACCTAAACTTATGTGTCGATTGATGTTTAATGATCAAATTGACAATATCATAATTCCGGTGTTGAGATGAAAGGCTTGAATTTTTAGACAATCGGCATTCTATTGTCTCTCTTTCGGTTACTGACCAATTTTTATCAGATGAAATATACCGATTTTAAATAAATTCCTAAAATATTAAAGAATCGCATATTTTTGGTAATGAAAATTTTTCAGGAAAATTTTTTAAACCATCATCTGATAATATAATCATTTCAAATGAAATGCTGGATTTAATTGTTAAATACTATTTAACAATTTATGAAAATCTCGAATTTCGGAAACTATTCAGCGATGATTCAGAAAATGCTATAATAATTCAGTTCAAAATGAATCAGTTTGGAAGATGTCGAATCAGTTCTGAAATCTTCAGTTCAATAGTGTCCTTATGACATTTTGGCCAAATTTATTATGAATGATAATATTATTGATTGCTATCCAGGTCAAGTTCAATATTATTTTACTTATACAGTTGATTTACCGTATGAACTGACTAAACATTTTCTAGCATATGTTCGCTGGTATCAACCTGCAAGTTCTCCAAATGTTCGATATCATTTTAACATTAAAGAAACATGTAATGTTGAACTATAGGATACCGATTTTTACTCTAAAAGTCGTGATTGCATAATATCAGTACATCATATTTTAGAACGTTTTGTACTAGTAAACTATGATTTTAACTCGACGAAATGCAAAAGAATATTTAGTCATCAATCTGATTAATAGAAAATACCAATTATGAAATTATGACATCTTATTTCCTTCTGAATTATTATTTTCAATATAAAATAATCTATTAAAATTGCTTTCTGAATTATCATTTTTTACATAATTTTTGAAAGTTTTATTAGCCTAAAAATCCTTCCGAATTGTTATTTTCGACATAAAATAATCTATTAAAATTGCTTTCCAATTTTATTAATATACAAATTGTCAATAAATTAGATAGGTTGATTTAGGTTAATTTTTGGTCATTGATGATTATGTCTGATTGACAGACGATTGATGGGTGATTTATCACATGTCCGATTTTTTGATTTTGACCAGTGTAACTCATCCCTTTATTGAAAAAGGAATATGGTACTTTTTTTACTCCTATTCATATTCTTTTCAAAAGAAAATGCAAATTTGCCAGTTCATTTTTTAACATAATACTTCATTTTAAAGAATTTTATAATCTTAATGATTTTTGATCCTTACAGATTAAATCTCTTTCAAGTGTATTACTTTACCAATTTAATAATTCTACTATTTATGAACGAATTTCTACAATTAGACTTTTCAATTACAAATACAATTTGCTCTTTATGTCTCCCTATTAGTATTTTGGCCCTGTTATTTTCATTGCAATTCTCATAAAAATCACATCAGTGCTACTTTGAGTCTTATTAACTTTATTTCAAAAAAATTTCTTTTTCTTCTTCATCATATTTTACAAATCATATATTGGGAGGTAACTGACCTTTATGTAAAATCTTTCTCTATTCCATTTTTTTTAAAGTACATAATACACTAACCAATCACAATCTTTATTTTTTAGAACAATTAATCTCAACTGATAAATGTAATTTAATAACAAAATCAGATCTTGGGATCAGTATCCCTAATTCAGTGATTAAACTGTAAGCCTTCTATTAAGCTAAAGTTTCATTATACAGTAATAGACCATCAGTTCAGGTATCAGCTGATATATAAAACTAGATAATTTTCATAAGAATTTCATATGTAGCTAAAATGATGTGCATATGTATTAACATGCATACAAATCTGATTGATTGATCTATAGATCAATGTTGATCATGACTAAATACTGCACAGTATTAGAACAAATAGATGCAAATGAAGTCTTAGATCGACAAAAATTTGGCCTTCACTGATTGATCTATAATAAATACAATCTTACATCTCACCTGGTAGGGGCCCTTACTTCCGTATATGATCATAAGATTGTATATAAATTAAGAAAATGATTGATTAGAACTTAGTAGATTAGATCAACAGTAATAATAAACAGCATTGCATGTCTGTAACACTGTCTAATTAAGCTGTCACTAGGTTTAGAGATCAGGTTCAATTCCTGAGTTATTTGATATTATAGGTATCAAAGTCACCTAGTTGATGTAGTCTATATACGCAACTGAAAATCACCATTTGGGTAAATCTTGTAGTACTATTCCATGAACCCTACGCCTCTCTATATAGTTATAATCAAGTCAAACTAAGTAATTGGATCCTGATTATAGTTCACTAGATTGTTAGTAAGAATAGTGATAACGTTTACTATGGCTGAGATGAATCTTTTATCTAAATTTGACAGTACCTTTGATGCTAAGTACCTAATTCCAGATTACAACAAGTGGTTTGAGTTGTTGGGTTAGGATGACATACTTAGATAGGCACATTAAGGAGATGCGTTCGACATAGTAGATAACTTGAAAATATAGAGAAATACCTGAGATTGAATAGCCAGCATATCACAATTAATGGTATCTGATTGACTTTGGTTAGATAGGTTTAAGTGCAAAGGTACTCAGTCAATGTCGTAATACTAAAAAAAAAACAAAAAAAACAAAATCAGATCTTTTTTTAAGAGATTTTAAATATGTCACTTATTTTTTAGGAAAATCCTATTTTTTTGATAAATTAGAATCTATAATTTTAGTTAACACTCCTACTAGATTACTTAAAATAGAATATAAACTAGATACTTTACTTTTATTTTATAATCACCTCATTGATTTCACTATACCTGTTTCTTTTCATAATCACATGAGAAAACCAATTGTTTATTAGGATCTTATATTACAAAATATCACATATAATACTATACTTAGCAGAAAATCTGATATATCATAGTTCACTTGTCAACACCTTATTTATTTAACCAATATTGATGGAATCTACTTTCTAAGTCAGTATAAGAGATGCAAATAATTTTCTACAGCTACTTCTAATAATATATGTACTTTCAGTATTGAAGCCATTAAAACCTTCAAATTTTTCTTTAAATTTGAAAAGAAGGTTACAATCAAAAACTGTCTCTGAAATTCTCCTGATGAACTATTTTATGCTGCATCCAAATTTTATAATGATTCTGCTCTTCCTCTACCTACACCTCATATAATATATGATAATATTATTGATATTATTCTTCTACTATCCATTTATTCTAATTAACTTAAATCTATCTAGTCTGAAGTCAAAAATGCAAATCCCTTAGTTTTCTATACTTGATAAAGTCTGCTTAAATAATTGCAAAATAGGTCTTGAATGAATCTGCATTGACAATCAATCTTACAACTATAGTTTCTCTGCATCTTTATCAAATTGGCCTTCATCTACCAGAACTGAGATTTTTGCATTTTTAACTACTCTCTTAATCGATTCTCAATCAGCTACATTAAATATATACACAGATAGTCTCGCCTTTATTCACAATTTTCAACCTTACAATGTTGATACTAGACTTTCAAAGAGAAAATAAAAAAATCTCTAACTATACAATTTAGAATTTCATTCAATATTTACATAAAGTACTCAACCTACGTATTAATCTTATTAAAGTCAAATTACACACTGGAAACATTCTAAATGATCAAACTGATATATTAGCTAAAAATAGGAGAAACTTATTTTTGATCTCTTTAAACATCACTGGTATTAGCTCAAATAATCTTGTAGTACTATTTAATAACATTCCAATTGAATCTTCTATATGAAAGTTTTATAAGGATTTCTTTTCAGCATATACTTTTAGTACCTTACTGTCTCACAATGAATTAATAAAACTTTTGATACTCAACTCATTTATCGACTGGATTACTATATGGAAATTTCTTTTATTAATCATTACTTGTTACATCATTTGTTTCTATTAGATTAAAAATCTTTATCTTTAAAAACTTATTAGGTGAACATCCTATTATAACTAGAATAGTTTAGCTTTTTTCTGACTTATATAAAGACTGAAATTGTGTTAGCTGTAATATCAAATGTTAACCTAGAGATTACATCCCACCTATTGCGTTGCTCAGCTTATGAATCTAAGATTATCGCAATTATTCTTTTTATAAATAGTTTATTAGATTACCTCCTTGAAGTTTACTCATTCAGTTCTTCTTTAATATTTGAAATTACTTCTATCTTCAATTAAACATTCAATATTTCCTAAGATACAAGTCTCATTTACATTATAAAGGCATTAATTCTGTATTCTCTAGTATCTATCATTCACAAAACCACGCAAAATAGGAACAAATCTATTAAAATCATCACACAACTATTTTTTTAAAAAAATGTATGAAGAAGTGTGGAAACCTTGATGCAAATTTATAATTACTAAAGAAAAACTATTAGGTATAACTTTAAATGACAAACATTTATGTAGTATCAGTAAATTTTTAAGATATGCTAATAACTATTAAGCTTTTAACATGTGGGAATACTGAATATACCTTTCGATCAAGTATGGTAACAAATTTTCAGATTTTTAGATAGGCACTGATTTTCTCTTTTTCTTTCTTTATGATAATAATAGTCATTAGATATGTATTTAATGGATCTATTGGAAGAGAAAGATGATAATAGGTTGATTCAAACAGATTTGTAATATAATCATGCGGGATAGCTAGTACTTATATATAGATTTTTAAGATTTACTTTTGTTTATTGTATAAATTTAATAAAGTTATTGGTAATGTCACATTGTAAAAAAAAAAAATTTTTTATATGATATGTGGTGATCTTTTTTATTGATTTTTTACTGATTTACTAATCCAATTTAAACAAATTTTAGCTTGTTAGAATTGTGACGCTGAGGAGAATCTGAATACAGTATTGGTTTTTTGTAGTTAGCCTATTGAAAAATATTTCTACACTTAAATTTCATTAAGTAAGAATTTTGATGTAGATCGTTAAATTATGCAAAATTAGTCTTAATAATCGTACTTATACATGAAGTTGAAATAGATTATTTCGGATATCTGAAATGGTCAAAATGGTCAAAATCATTTCGACTATTGGAGATAAAAGTCGAAATGGTCGAAATGATGTAATATCACATGATTTTTTATATATAGAAAAAACAAAATAACAAACAATGTACGATCTTGGTCAATATCACTACGATTCATATAAAACAATTACCATTCGATTCCTTGTGACTTGACGGATCCAATGAGCTAACATACATTGATTTTGGATCATCCAATCGCGAGATAATCGCAATTGTATTATCGGCCGAAATTATGAATCAATAAATTCTAC